ACAAAAACACAGCCCGCACAAAAAAAAAACAGAAAAAAAAGGAAACGAGAACACGAACCGAGAAGTAAGCGGGCGGGGGCGGAGCGTGGGGGGGGGGGGGGGGGGGGGGGGGCGGAGATGGATGACTAAAAGAAAAAAAGAAAAATAGAAATAGCTAAAGAACAAGATAATACAGAATACTCCTTTGACAAAAGTAATACTGGGAAGAAACATACTTGAATGCAAAGACCAACCACGCGTTCTTGAAAGGATAAATATACAAAAAACTCGATTTATTCTTAAGTTCCTATACACACATGTATTCATACAATAAGGGATTGTAGTTCTGATTGGACGTATTTTTATTTTAATTAGCCTTAGTTGTTACTTTAAATAACAATGGTGTCATAACATTCGCTATTAAAACGATGATGATAGTATTTGCTACTATGATAGACAAACTATTGAGTACATACAAGTATAGAATACCAACAAGAATAATGGCTTTCTCAGTCGTTGCATCGCCATTAGGGATTTGTTCTCACTCGTTCTCTCTTTTTCTATCCTTATTAGCATTTTTATATTTTTAGGATAAATACAAACAAAAAAGAAAAAGCTATTCATAGTAACGATTAGGACGACCTATAGGACCAAGTCTTTTGTAAAGGCAACTTGACTAACAAAGTAATCAGACATTCATCAAATTTAGTTATGTGTGAGATAATACTAAAAACTTATGCCTAAGTGACTATATAATTATCAATGAATGTGCTCAGTAAAAATATTATAGATAATCTATATTATTTAATTATTAACTGAGTTTTACGAGACCGATATATATAAGCCAGACAAAGAGAACTAATAAGCTATCATGAATAAGTCTTTCATATAGAACAAAAGTGATTTCCTTTTTGATCGTTAATGATGAAGGGAAGTCATACGAGGCATAACAATAAAGCAGGAGCAAATAAGTCTTTACTAATTGCTGATCTAACTTTAGTTCCATGAATCTTCAACGATCATCAATATTTTATTCAGATTTGTTTTTCTTCCGGAGAAGCAATTTGAAACTCTAAGACAGGAAATACCTATTTTTTTAGGAAGGGCGAACATACAAGTGGACTATTAAGAACCGATTGTGTTTCTTTTCTTTTTTGTTTAAAGAATCTCAACACAGCCTATAGCCGTTGTTCTAGACTCATTTGATAGAAAATTTTTCGTTCAGCAAATCGATCAAGTTTGTTTTTAGAACAAGCATTTGTTTTTGTCAACGATAAACTGAAAAGTTCAACTCTAACTCAATTGTCCAACTGTGATCTTATGTCGTTTGCAAACATTTATTGATTTGCTCAAGTCTATATTCATCAAGTACAATGTTAGAATAGATTTAGAATTCTCAACTCTATAATCTTATGATCTTTTCAAGAATCTGGTTCTTTTTTTTTGTCGAGAAAAAACGAAATACTTATTATTACGTGGTCAAATGTAGAATTCAATTCTAAATAAAATGATACAACTGTTAAACTAAACGAGCAAAACATTTCAATAGTTTTAAATTGAAAATAAAGCAAGCAACAGAATACGATTACAAGAAACGAGCCATTGTCAATGTCTTTTACATTTGTTTCTCTTTAAAATGTTTTCTTGACAATAATTCACTTGAAATTCTATAATATACACAAAAAGCTACAGAATTTTATGAAAAATCCAACAACATATTTAAAAATTCAGCGAATCGGATATTAAGAATTTTGATTGGTTTCATTTTTCTATTTCATGACATTTGCAGTTGAAAAACAAAATACATCTCAATAGTTTCAATTTTGCACCGACAAAACAAAACTCTTTTCTGAAAAACAAATTTGATAAATTTCCACAACAACAAATTCTTTATCAAATGAAATTAGAGTATGGTCGTTAGATTGTATTTAAGTTCCTCAAAGAAAAGAAAATAAACACGACCCGCTTTTCATAGTTCATCCGTTAGTATTCGGTCCATTAACCATAAGCTCCTGGGGAGGACGAATTCAATATCCCAGAAGGCTTCGTCCGCTCTCGACCTTGGCGCTAGATAAAACAATGATAATAATAATAATAATAACATGTTTATATAGAAAAAGAAATCAGTTAATCTTTCGATATGA